CCCGCAGCCGCCCCCCATACTGAGACTGAGCCGGCTCAGTAGGCTCAGTATGAGCCGCCGCGACCGGCCGCGCGGCGGCCCGGAAGAGGCCCCACTCAACCCCGCTTCGCACCCGCCGCCCCACGGGCCCTACGGGCTTGCTACGGGCTCCCTGGACAGAGGTGGCGCCAGGCGCAGGGCGCTTAAGGGCGGCTAAGAGGGGGGGCAAGTCGCAAACTCAGCTTCGTTGGGTTTCCCAGGCCCGGCCCAGAACCCCCCCCTGCGCCGGACGGGGCCCCAAGGAACCCGAAACGCCCCCGACAATTTTTGGTCGGCGGCTGGGGGCTTTACTCAGGCGCCGGGGGGGGGCGGGTGGGGTCCGAACTGGAAAGCGTCGAATTTCCCGCGTTCGGTACTCGCACTTGCCAACATCCCCGCGCCCAGCAGACTTACTACTGCCAGATCGCCGGCGCTGATCGCCGGCAGGCTTTGAGAGGCCATATCAGTGAAAGAGTGAGCTGAGAAAGACGCTTCTGCTGCGCAGAAATTGATATACTTAGAATGGGATCATATTACCAGAACCGATCTGCTCGCCGAGTGTCTGGCCAGTCTGACCTTCAGCAAACATGTTGCCAATAATGCCGAGCATGGCAAGGCGACCATTAGCCATCTCCGCATTCAGCTTCTGCGTTTTCTTCTCCGGTCCGTATTTGGCGCCAAAGAAACCAACGTTATAGTCGCCGTCATACTTAGATGCAGGCCACCAGGCCATCTCAACTAGTCCTGTGAAGAGCAGGATCTGCGCGATACCAGCAGCTGGAACCTTGAAGATACCCTGGCCGCCGTTCGGGATGTCGGAGAACTTGAGCTGTTGAGAGAGAGAGAGGTAGCCCGGGAATTCCACGTTGGCGTTGTGCGCGATGCATCCTACCATCGCCACCATGGCAATGCGGCCATGTTTACGTTCAACGGCACGGCGGCGTTCAAAGCCTATATATAATTGATTTTGAATTATTCAGAGTCTTCGTATGAACTCACCCTCTGGCTGGTTGGTGCTCAACCCAAGCGGGTCCCAGAAACCTGCCGGCGCTTGGACCCCGATCGCCTATCGACGTTTCCTAACGGGTCGAAAGACAAAGCTCAGGAACGCTGGAGCACGCGGTTTCATCGACTGCAGATCCATCGAGAACGAGGCCCACGGCAGGCGTCGTTGGCGCCACGAAGGCCGAGGCAGCTGAGAAAGTCAACGCGAGGAGAAGCTGCTGCATATTATTGCCCGCTACCTTGTAGATGCCGTCGCGCGATCTTCTTCGCCCTGAGACTAACCCTATAGGAAAATCTGTGAGGACAGCTAGGCTACGGCGGTCCGGAGCGAGGCGGCGCCGGTCATATTTTCGAGTGCCCACCAGACGGTGTGCGGTGCAGCGACCAACGTACATCTACGCCGGGGCATAGGG